CCCCCCCCCACTTATATAACATACCTCTCCTTCGAGCAATCCAAGATAAAAGTTGATTGGCATGGCATACATTCTTGCTAAAGACATGTTTAGTGCATCTAGTCATCTTTCACATTTAATAGGCTCATTCATGAAAATCAAATGATTTTGATGTTTGTATGGTACCACTATTGCTTCTATGCTTAATTTGGTCTAGTGGTAGCATATGACATGTTTGTGGGCTTGTAAACCTAGTGTTTGATCTAGAAAATGAGCTATAAGTGTTTAACTCAACATGGTACAAGATAACCCTTATTTAAAGGTGTGAAGAAGCTTATCTTTGGATCAAACCGAGTTAAATATCTTTGGCAAGTGATCTAGATTGGACCAAATTTAGAAAAATAATCATCACCCTATTGATTGACATTAATAATATCAACCTATTTAAAATTAAACCTTTATGGTCATTGATGACAAATGGGGAGAAATAGTGTACAAAGATAGTGAAAAGATAACAAAGGGGGAGAAATTGAGAAATTGACATAGGGGAGAGATATGACAAAGTAAGAGATCAATTAAAATTTTGAGCACACAAGTAGGGGGAGCAAGCTCATAAACTTGGTGGATGCATTTGAATGTGCATTTCATATGTTTGCTTGCATGGCACAAGTTTTAAATTTCAATATTTATGCTTACGTGGTATATGCTAGTTATAGGATTGAATGATGAAATGAAAAACTAGCATGCATAGGTTAAGAAACTAGACTTATGTTCATTTTATGGAAACTAGACCCTTGTTTCTAATGTTGATCTCATGGGGTATTCTAGTTTTTTGTGCATGTCTAGTTACTAATGGTGCTAAGGATGGTATATTGGTGCACTCCGATTGGTATCATGCTTTAAAGGTCCATCTCTTATACCTTAGCATCATTTGGTAAACATTGTCTTATATATTTTCTATCTAAGCATATGTGCAAGCTACAATCCAAACTCTTAGCACATATGTAGGAGGAGCAATTGCTACCATTCGGGGTTCATGAAACTTATCTATATCATTTTACACATGGTAAATATGCTTGGGAAAGCAACATGGTTTCAATTAAATTTCAATTCATATCTTTATATAAGGGTTGTCATCAATTACCAAAAAGGGGAGATTGAATGCTCTAGTTTAGTTTTGATGAATTAATGAAACCCTAAGTGCTAACCTAGTTCATCTAAGTGATCATGAGATAGGTAGCATTATTCCAAGTGGTGAAGCAACGGTGAAGATTATGATGATAGTGATGACATGGTGATGATCAAGTTCTTGGACTTGGAAAAGAAGAAAGAGAAAAACAAAAAACTCAAGACAAAGGTAAAATTGATAGGAGCTTTTCGGTTTAGTGATCGAGACACTTAGAGAGTGTGATCACATTTAGGATCGATAGCCGTACTATTAAGAGGGGTGAAACTCGTATCGAAATGCGGTTATTAAAGTGCCACTAGATGTTCTAACTCACTGCATATGCATTTAGGATCTAGTGGAGTGCTAATACCCTTGAAAATATTTGTGAAAATATGCTAACACATGTGCACAAGGTGATACACTTGGTGGTCGGCACATTTGAGCAAGGGTAAAGAAGATAGAGTTGAAAAGAAGTTAGTTGCGTTGGTCACAGAGTGACCGGACATGTCCGAAAATGGGACCGGACGCGTCCGGTGTTTTATCCAGTCTTAGGGTAGTCAGATAGAAGTGACCGGACACGTCCGGAATCAGCACCGGACGAGTCCGATATTTGGACCCGAGGTGAGCGACTAAGTGAAAGTGACCGGACTTTGGCTCAGTGGAGTGACCGGACGCTGGCGAGTTACTGTTCAGCGTTAGGTCAAAGTGATATAGCCTGAAGCAGGATTACAGAGAGCGACCAAACGCGTCCGGTCGCCACACCGAACGCGTCTGGTGTGAACCAGCAAGTCTTAGGTTTTCAGCGTAATAATTCATTGAACGCTGGGAGTGTCCGGTCCGGTGTGATCGAACATGTCCGGTCGGCCCAGAGCGGCTCTAGGAGCTCTCTGGACTCGACCTGACGCCACGTCTCCCGGGTCCGGTCGTTTTCTAACAGCGCATCCGATCACGTAGTATTACTGTGCGCAGAGATAGCCGTTGGGCGCCAATGGCTAAACAATTTGAAAGGGACACGTGGCGGTCAAGCTGCGACCGGACGTGTCCGGTCACCACACCAGACGCGTCCGGTGCACACGACCTGCGCGTCCGGTCGTCCCGCAGTCAGCCCAATAATTAAGCCAACGGCTCTATTATTTGGTGGTGTCTATAAATATCGTTTGACCGGCTCTAGCTCACACTCTTGGTCATTTGCATTGACATAGCAACATTGTGAGCTTAGCCAAAGCCCTCCCACTCATCTCCATCTTTGATTCATCGTCTATGTGAGATTAGGAGAGAATCCAAGTGCATTGCTTGAGTGTTTGCATCTAGAGACACTTGGTATTCGTGTTTTTCTGCGGGTTTGGATTGTTGCTCTTGGTGGTTGCTGCCACCTAGACTGTTTGGAGCGGCGAGGATCGTCGAGCGGAGGTTGGTGATTGTCTCCGGCTCCGATCGTGGTATTTGTGAGGGGTTCTTGATCTTTCCCCGGTGAAGAGCTAAAATGTACTCTAGTAAATTGCTCATGGCTTGTGTGTTCCTCATCTTGTGTTGGTTGTGCGGCACCCTATTGAGAGTTTGGCGTATGATGCCAATTAGCGCGTGAACCTCCAAGTGAGTGAATCGCCACAGCGGGGACTAGCTTGCCGGCAAGCAAGTGAACCTCGGAGGAAAAATCATTGTGTCTTGATTGTCTTCTTGGTATTCATTGGTATTCACTCATTGGTCACTTGTCACGGCGGTATACCTCTCTACCACTCTCTTGTATTTCTTTATACATTCACTTAAATAGAGCTAGTGGTAGTTAAGACTAGATAGTGTATCATTTAATTGTATTAATCTCACTAGGTTGATCACCTAAGTGTATATTAGTGACATAGCCTTATTGTGATATACTAGAGATCATAGAAAATAGAATTGGGTAGGTGTCTTGCAACCCTAGGTATAGTGCTAGCGCAAAATTCACTTCGCCATCTTATTGACTAATCATTTGTCTTAGTGTTGTTGTATAATTTTTTAATAAGCTATTCACCCCCTATAGCTATTAGAACCTTTCAATCTTTAAGGGCCTATTTGGATCCTTTAGTCCATGGACTAAAGTTTAATCCCTATCCTGTTTGAATGGAGGGACTAATGGTCATTAAAGCTATTGTACAAAGATCAAAACGTTTCCAATTAATGCACACAATCTTTATTTATTGGAATTCGGGAGGGGTAGGGGAGTCTTTTTAGCCGTTTAGTCTCCTTTGATCACCCCAATGGATTAATAATGGACTAATTGATTTAGGCTGTGTTTAGTTCGCGAAATGAAAATTTTTGGATGTCACATCGGATGTTTCGGGGACGTCGAAAGAGGTTTCGGATACTAATAAAAAAACTAATTACATAGCTTGCTTGGAAACTGCGAGACGAATTTATTAAGTATAATTAATCCATCATTAGCGCAGGTTAGTTACTGTAGCATTTATGGCTAATCATGGACTAATTAGTCTTAAAACATTCGTCTCGCGATTTCCAACCAAACTGTACAATTAGTTTTTTATCCACTATATTTAATACTCTATGCATATATCATAAGATTTGATGTGATAGTTTGAGGTGAAAATTTTTGAAAACTAAACCAGGCCTTAGTCACCCTTGAGACTAAAGTTGTCACTCTCATCCAAATAGGCCCTAACACGACGAATCTTGTACCAATAACTCTGGCGTCTCATTTTGCCACGTCTTCAGCACTTCACACGTCCAGGCGTCCTTTGAATGGACTCAGTTTGGCGTCTCAATCTTCCATGTCTTCAGCTTTTCACCTGGCGACGCGTCTTTTGAATGGACTCACGGTCGATGCTAGTATGCTACATCTATGGATTTCGATCGGCGACACCACTAATGACCAAATCTTGCACGGATCAAACCATATTTCATCTACGTTTGAAAATATATACTCCCTCCGTTCCAAATTATAAGACGTTTTGACTTTTCTAGATACACTGATTTCACTATACATGTAGACATATTGTATATCTAAATGCGTAGCAAAATTTATGAATCTAGAAAAGTCAAAACGTCTTATAATTTGAAACAGATTGAGTACCAGAGAACGAGAGCTTCATATTTTTTCCCCTGCCCTTCTATGGAACTTTACACTTATCCTGTGCTATTCCAGAAAACACATTTCAGAGAACTCTCCATCCCTCCACCTGAACACCTTGCTCTATAGATCCAGGGTAGCCACAGGTATAAGAAAAAAATCTCTATTTCTATCTTAACTGAACCTGCTACTCCTGTACTCTTTATCGTTAACAACTTGCTTTTTTTTAGCACTATCGTTAACAACTTGCTGCACAACTTGACAGACGGGAGAGAGCCTAAAAGATCGTTATTGGGTGCGAAAACTGAGACCTCTTGCCGGCCAACAAGAAGGAACTATGAATCCTCAAACACGATTGATCTTTATCCGTAAGACCAACACTGGCATAATCAAATGAATAGCGCGGCGAGGCCGCGCCTATTTTCTAGTGCAAACCAGATATTTGCCTGATCTGGACACAAACTTTCCGCACCAAAATTCTATTGCCCACAATTCAGTTAATGATTGACCAGCAATTCTTATAAACACAAGCCGATGGGATCTTTAAAAAAAAAAAGATTTCGGAGTAGACCACTACCAAGGAGGCAAGCTTACCATTACTCTGTCATGCATCCAAATGAGCCCAAACTATGACAAAGTTGGCTCAGCCACAAGCGAAAACGGCTGTATTCAAATCTTGCACCTTCAGCGTTTTTGTATAAGAATATAAAGAGATGGAAAAGAATAATGGCCACAATTACATCAAGCTTAGCACGAGAAAACATTTCCTCTTCCTCAAAGTCATGGTCATTACTCATTACCAATTACCACAAGAATCCTTGGATAGTAGGGCACACACAAGTTTTTGCCGTCCTACAAAAAGCAAAAGTGGATCGCATCGATCCAAAACACTTTCATACTGACCTGGACTGTATAGTTTCCAATCACAACCTCCTCCATATCGACCTCAGCATCTGTGCCCAGCAGCAGCACTAACAGGAAGATTATACACAATTTTTGCTGCTGGGTACAAACATTACACCTACAGTTTACATACATCTATATGTTACCACCCTCTGACTTGTATACCAATTGCTATGCTGTGTACATTAATATGCATGTACCTGCACAAACCTCACAACAGGAATAACTCGCTCGAATGACCCTATTTTGCTGGATGCTTGAAGAAAGATCCAGCTATAGACATCCAGCTCCCCGAAAACAAAAACTCCCATATTCCTTGTGCCTGAGGCATGAACAGAAAAAAAAATCCTGAATATCTGATGTTGGAAACGACTTCAACAGCGGCTTCTTACTGTTTTCATATTCACAAACGAAGCTCGAACGCAATATGACAGCAGAGCCTAACTGACTGCATTGTACCTCTGCTTCATTAGTTGGTGCCCCATCATATGCTGTGGCAGCTTTTCTGAGTAAACTGAGAGATCAAAGATACTTTTAGGCAGCTGGGGAGGCCCAACAATGGACATTGTGATGTCTGAATGGGCACATTTTTCCTTTCCATAGATGTTATTGCAGACGCTTTTCATGAAATCTTCTTTGAGAGAACTTGTGCAGATTTGAATATTCCTTCTGTAGGCAAGACCCCAGAAGAATACAACATTTGGCTCAGTGATGGTATGATCAACTTGTTCCGAGGGATCTGGGTCACAGTAAACGCCAAGACTCTCCAGCTGCAGAACATCATTGGAGAGTTGAAGATCAACATTAAAGCTACTACCCAGAATGTGGCAAAGAAAAACACAAATGCACAAAGAAAATGTGAAATAACCTTGAGAAGAAGGTTGCGGAATCGTGATTTCACCCATCCAACCCAGTCACGCAATTCTTCATCCAATGGAGCAGAGAGAACTATGCGGAGAAAGCATTTGTATCTTGCACCATATGGAAAAGATGCAAATAGCCAACTCCAGTCAAAATCAGTACTTCTGGTATCCTGTGGAAGCAACAGATGAAATATTACCAACCTGACAATTAGGGACACATGCAAGCCTTAATCCTAGATTGCACCAATAATAGAGCAAGGTTCAAAAAACGCTAGGCGCTAGGCCACTGGCTAGCGCCTAATCGCGATGAAAAGTTTATGTTTCAGTAACACAATAGCTATGTATATGGAGATGCAGCTGCATATATGAAAGAATAAATGAGAAATAAAGAGTTATGTCTATAAAGCCCACTCAGCCCATTGTCTTAGGAAAGCCCACAACCCATCTAAGCATCATATAGCCCATCTAAGCACCATATGTGCTACCGGTGGCCTAACAGCCAGCACCATTCCAGCAATTCCCACCCCACCGCCGCCGGTTCTCAGGTTTTGCGCAGCAGCTTCCGCTCCCTGCGCTCCCATCCCCATCAGCTACCACGCCCCCATCCCTGTCCGCTCTCTGCCCATGGCGCGCTACCTCCGCTCCACTCGTGGGCAACCTCGTCTCCTTCTGCTCCCCCTTCGTGGTGCACGGCCTCCACTCTCTCTGTTCGCAGACATGAGGCGAGGCAGAATCGAGCAGAGGGCAAGCAAAATCGAGAGACATGGACACCATGAGGTCCTAACCCTGTCGCTTCTCTTGTTTTCTTCACCATAGATGGGTCTTTCAGCTCGCCCCCACGTTTAATTGGACGCCTATACCCTAGGCGATGCACTCGGGCTCTGTTTTGCGCTTAATCGTGCCTAGGCGAGCGTTTAATGACGTTTTTTTGAACATTGGGGGTGAAATGGAACTGTTGACATTTAGCATTAAGACTTTACCACAACATATTTGGAGAACTATCAGTGAGTAAAAATCTAAACCATAAACACAGCAACTGATCCAGAGAGCTAATTTGGTGGGTTGGCATTGGGTGGGTCCCACGGTGGGGGCAGGGACGTGGGCGCAAGTAGTGTCTTCCTGAGTAGTTAAATGGTGAAAAATTATAGTGCCTTGTGGGGAAATGAGAAATTTATTGAGCCATGTCCACCCTGGACTCCGAGAAGCCAACACACCCAGAAATTGCATTGTAAGACACTATAGCTATCCAATATTCAAACAAAACCAGTTAAACCCTTTCCTATTAAGAGAAAATGGAAACATGGCCACACAAAAGGGAAATTCATCAATTGAAAAGAGAGCCTTAAAATAAGAAACAACACCTTTCAGTTTAAATTACTTGGTAGCTTGTAACAAAATGCTACAAAGGAAATAACTTGCAACCTCAATTGATAAATATACACATTCTAGCAATTTGTATATAATAATATCCCAGCATGGTGTGACAGTGGAAACATAAGCAAGGAACCTTTCAGGGAGAAAAAAAGCATTAATAAAAAAAAACAGCAATAATAGCTGTACCTTTGTCAAAGCATAACCACGCCGAAGTTCTTCTTTGATTTTGCTGAAAGTACTTTCTGTTGTACTAGAGGAGCAAAATTCTGGTGGATTACAGGGCAACATTATGGGCATGAGAGAGCACCCATCAAGACCCCGACAAAGAACTGGCGGATCAAGCAAACTCACTGGAAGAGGCCAAGGCCAGTGAACAAAAATATCGAAGAACAAAGACAACAAAGTATTTATACTAGCATTCGGATGTCTGCGGCAAACATATGCAGCAAGAATCGTCAAATGAATTCCAGCGAAGAAACCAAGTAGCTGAAATACAGAAATACCATCAGGCAATCAATAACAGAGTAATTGTAGAAAATAAAGGACATCATAATCGACTGTAGACAAAGCACCTACATGGCAATGAAGTCCTCTTCTTCTTGCCCATAGTTTGAGGCACCGCAACAGATATTGAAATTTCTGCATTGATACTCCATGAAAAGGTAAAATTAGAATAGGAAGAGTGGTAGCAAGAAAGGTTTAAAGAAGTCATAAAAAGTGCAAGTGTGCAACAGTGCTAACAAAAAAGGACATCTGAGAAATATAGGATGTATATAACGAACAAAGCGATACAGTTGGAGACAACCAATAGGTCCCAGATACAAAAAGGCACAGAGTAAACAAAATAAATGAAGGAAAATGGTACATGAATAAAACTAGTGAGGTGGTTTTTGGACCTTCATATTAGGAACTAATTGAATGATTTGTCTATTAGCACGAACTCCAGATAGACATCTCCAGCTTGGCCCATCCACATTCTCTAGCACATGGGGATCAGATGCATGCATAGCCTGCAGTGTACAGCCTGTGAGAACTTAAAATAAGCACCAGATATCATGTACAACATTTTGTTCTACAAACTAACCAATAGTTTAACGAATTCAAAGTAATAGTAAAAACACATGATGGGCCAGGGAGGACGGAGTTACGATGTAGTACTCCTCCGTTTCAAATTATAAGACGTTTTGGCTTTTCTAGATACATTGTTTTTCCTATGTACCTAGACATGTTGTATATCTCTTGCGCAAAAAAAAAAAAGACATGTTGTATATCTAAGTGCATAGCAAAAGCTATGTATCTAAAAAAAAAGTAAAAACGTCTTATAATTGGAACGGAGGGAGTATAGCATAAGGACATCAAAGATAATTTCTCACAAATGTTACCATGCTTTGCTCAATCACGTGAAAGACCCAAACATGTTGAAATGAATGTACTAACGTACAATTCATTAAGGTGCTGGACTGAAATTTCTTGGTCTTATGAATTAGGCATAGATTTCAAAAGATATTACATATGCCTCACTGCATGCTACCAAAAGTTGTGGCAAGCAATAGCTTATCAAGGTACAGCATGACCAAGACGAAAGCAGTGTTACAGGGTGGGCAGACAAAAAGTATGTTCTGAGAAAAGTAGAAATACAAATTACACTGAGTCAACAAATATAACACATTTAATATATAAATATATAATGTAGTGAAAGACCGGATGCTTACCTCTGCAGCATTGATCACTGGGAGTTGAACATAAGGAAAGTCAACTAAAATCCCATTGAATTTAAAACGCATCAATGGAACCTTAGCTCCTTCAATTGAATGCAATTCTGATACTTCTGGCCTCCCTTCAAGCATTTGTCGCAGGACAACAAAAAAATGGTGCTGAAATCAACACATGAACACATTCTGAGTAAATTTCAAAATTTGTCAGCAAAAACAAAATACAAAATTGACACTTACTTGCAGTGTTGCAATATAAGGACCAATACAGAGAACATCAATATCAGATTCAGGTCCATATGCCTTCAAAGTAGAAAATTTTTAGTCAAGGTTTGTCATAAAAAGATAAATCACAATATTCAAAGGAGCAACTACAGAAGCATACCATATAAAGTATAAACAAGCAAACTCAAATTATAATTCTCCATAGCTCAGCTGCTTTACATGCAATTAAACTATCAAAAGCTAATTGACTCAAGGTTTAGAAACTTGCAACAACGAAAAATGATGGCATGCTAATAATGATTTGGAATGCAAAACAAAGCATTCTACGCACAAGTATCATGTTCATTCTTGAATACTTGCATACAGTTATCAATACAAATTCATATTTAAAACTCTTTCTAACTCCCTGATTACCTGCCTGGATTGAACTTCTGTTAAAGCTTGCAGAGCACAGTTGCACACAGTTTATACAAGTTCATGCGTGCTATTAACCATAGAAGCAGACTTGAACAAAAAAATTCTCCCATGCTCCTTAAAGTCGTACAAATGTCATATTTAGTTATGCACTGTTAAACTTTAAACACATGGCAGCTATCTTTTTTACATTGAGATTCGATATCTGAAAACAACATGAGTAGACTTATGTTTTATTAAGAAAAAAAAACTTGACCCCAGGGAATAGCCTTCCCAGAGGCATTATCAATAGAAGGAGCCTCAACCACACAAGCCCGAGAAAAGGCCCCGAACCCTGACTTCACCCATACTGCCACACCGTAGCCCAGGCCGGTATCCTGCAACTACTATGTGGATTGCCAGTGAGGGAACTTTTTTAACGTGCAAACCAGGGCCAGAAACTGACCAGCGCCACCTCCGGAATGTGGGTCCTACCGCCGTGTTATCAGCATGTTTGTTATTGCTATGTTTTATATACAAATTACAACACAATTTTGCTGAGACAAAGTGTTTTAGAGATCATGTATGCCCAAAACAGCACTTCTTTCTGACCGGAGAGAACTTAATACGAGCAGCAACTCTCTTCTTAAATTTATGACTGCATGTTTTGATTAACCTATCAATCATTGGGCTTACATTAGTGTGCATAAGAAACACAATCAGACAGATCACTCAACCAGATCATTAACTCAGCAAGCTCAGGAAACAAATGACAGAAAGATTGAGGAGTTATATGCTGCTTGTATTTCTTTGGTGAAACACTATCAAAGTCGTCATAATTGGCAGATTTGTCAAAGCAAGAGACACCCTTTACTAAACCGATCATGTCACATATGCAACTCCAACACATACTTGCACAGAAGATAACTTGTGGAAATAAAATAAATAATGTAACAAACTAACAGTACTGCATGGCTAGCTTATAAACTTAATGCCTTGCTGGAAAATATCCGGGCAATTAAAGACTCGTGATATCAAATTCAGCAACAATTAATTTGTTTTAATAGAACACAACATACAAAAGATACAGTAAATGCAACACGGACACTACATATCATTCTAAATCAATACCATGAACAATTAAACATTTAAACTGGATGTTACATCACCATAAAGGTTTCCAAGAAATTGTGGACAAATTTGGCATCATCCTTACCCCTAAGGCATAGGAGCCAAAGGTCAACACTGTGGCTGATGCGATCCAGTGCTGTTTGCCCTGCTCGTACGCCACCCTCTTTGCCCACTCCATCACTATCTGCAACAAAATCACAACCAGATCAAAACATCAATTTCGACCGGCATTGCAAGCAGAAGCCTTTAAGCCCGAAACCCTAACCCCCATTACCTTGCCGAGCTCGCGTACTACCCGCTCCCTCCTCAGCTCGTCATCTAGCGAAGGCACAATCCCCGCGTCGGAAATGAACTACACCACGAAAAACGTCAGTTCCCGAAATCAACCACGAATGCACACGAAATTACACCATAAGGGACAGCCGTGCGTGCGAGCTTTAAGCTCCAGAGTTCACCTTGAGGAGGGAGCGGCTCCGAGACTCGTCCATGTAAACGATGACCTCGCGCGGGAGCGCCATGGGGATCGGGCGCGACAGGAGCGCCCCCGGGGGCGGGTGACCGGGGAGGTACATCCCCGTCGTCGGTGGGATCGGCGGTGGAGGCGGCGGGCCCATGAGCAGCACGGGGGCTAGGGTTTGGGTCTCGGCCCTGCGGGCCGCCGAGCCCCCGACAGCGAGGTCCAGTGCCATTGCTTCTGGAGCGGGCCGCTGGCGAGGGAAAGGAGGCGGCGGTCGGCGGCGAACCGGCCGCGATTCGCCGCCGCGTTGTTGAGTGGGTGGCGGACGCGGAGACGACGACGCGAACACAGCTTCACGCTTTGTTGTCGCTTTGAAATCGTTGAGACTTGAGACCGCTTTGGGGTTTAGTTAGAAAGGGAATGGACCCGAACAGAACGGGATCGGAGAAGGGGAGGGAGCGAGGGGAGACGGGAACAACGACACGAGAAGGATGGAGTTTATACATGGGCGCTGGCTCGTCGGGGGTTTGGTCGGCCGGAGCCGGATGGTAGGAGTCGCGAGCAGACGCGGCGGAACTTTTTTTTTTTTTTGACAACACACGATTCCGTTTCAGCAGCGAGACGCTGCAATAAGTTTTACAGACTGAAAGGATACATCAGTCAGTGCATCATAGGGGGGCACTGAGTATAGTGGCTCATGAAGGAGCACACAGGCTGTAGAGCTGAATCAGAGAGATCTGAGGTAGCAAGAACATTGGGAAGTTGGGAGCGTGCCACGCGCGGTAGCTGGCTGGCTGGCTGGCGAGGAACGAAGAGGAAAGGTCAGGTTGCTGATTTGGTCTCTTTGAGTTTTATTTTATATAAGGTTGTGTGCTCGCTTCAGAGCTGTCGATACTTAATAGATTAACAATATTGTATTGTTGTTGGCTTTCTATAAGTTCACTTTCCTAATTCTAAAGCTTCATGGTGTTGTTAGTTGTTCCTATGGACCACTTTTGCTCGCCGAAATCCTCTTTATTTAATGCATAAACAAAAGTAGAAGAGACATCATGACAATTCAATATCAAATCCCTATCAAAACAAACATGTGGAAAATAATAAAGTCTTAACAATAGCATCACATCTCATATATCTATAAAAGGTTGCATGGTGAAAGGAGTTATTCCACACCCACCAATGTGGTCCAATTTTTTGCAATTTGGTCCTTTTTTAAGAAAATTACGTTTGGCCCCTTGAGAAACGTAAACTCATCTTTGGACCCTGGGGTCGGCGCCAGGACTCATTGTAACACCTCTGGTGTTTTGACCTAGAACTAAAACTTGGCATGTCATCATGTGCATTGCAAAGCATTCATAAAGTAGAAAAATTTGAATGCATTCACTAAATAAGCTTTATTTCATAAGTTGTTATTTTATGTGATGTAATGTAATTCAAAACTCTGAATGAAAATCAGGACCACAAGGGTCAAATTTCATGTGATCATGTGAGACCATGTGTCATTTGACTCAAATAACCCTAATGGGCCATGTAATTGGTCAAAAACCATAATTAAGTAAAAAGGTAAACAAATCAAATTAAATTCAAATTCAAATTATAAAAGTCATTTTTGCCCCTTTTGTCTATTTCAAAATCCATTTGGAATTTGGGGGTGTGACGAAAAGCAAAGTTGAAGCTTATTTTATAAGGATCAACTTTGGTATTCAAAGTTTTTAAAGTTTACATATAAAATTTGGAGTAATTTTAAAATGATTCAAATGCTCAAATGCACCCCAAATTCAAATTTAAAAATGGAGGTAGAATTTGAAAATGTTCACTTAAGCAAAGTTGTAGAGTTTGAAAAGTTGAGCAACTTTCATTCTTGGAGATTTTCAACTTCTTTAGAAAATTTGTGAGTAATTTGCAAAAAGAACACAGTGGCAATTCTGTAAATAATTCAAAAATCAAAACAAAGCCGAGCGCCACCTCCTGCTTGCCGCCGGCGCCATGCAGCCGCATGCCGCCGCTCGTTTTTCACCGCTTCTTCGCGCGGTGACACGCTGCTGTCTCCGTGGCAACCTCGTCGGGAGCTGTCGAAGCCAGGCGCGTCCTCCCCTTCTATAAATAGGAGCATCCGCCGCCGTCATTCTTCTTTTCTCGCCGTCTGCTCACCGCCGGTGCCCTTGCTGCGCTCGCGAAATTCGTCCTCGCCGTAGTACCTCGTGCCAATTGCGTTTGCCAGCAGCTCCGCCTCGCCCTGCCGCTCCTTCCAGGCCTGCTCGCCTCTCCTCTAGCAGTCCAGCGCCAACCCACGGCGTCTTCTTCTTCGGAGCCGGCCGAAGCACCGTCACCATCGACCTCACTGTGGCCACGCCATTCCAGCCGGTCTCCGCCTTCACCAAGCACACCGTCGTGTTCGTGGTGAGCTCCTGAGCGTGATGCTCGCTCCGCTTTAGCCTCTACCGTGTTGTAGCCAGCGTAGTGTCGTGTGCCGCCATGTCCGCACCACCATGGCCACCATGGGCGGCGTGGAGCTTCCTCCGGTGCGCCTGCTGCTGTTCTAAGGGTCGGGGTAGATTCGCGGGGTAGTGTAGATCATGCTGGTGCAGTCCGCCTCGCCGGAACCTCACCACCGACGCGTTTTGGTCGACCGGAGTCGACAACGCCGCCGTGTGATTTGTTCTGTGTCATTGACAGCGGGACCTGGCTGTCAGTGAGAGAAGGGAGAGAACAGTGAAATTTAGTATTTTCTGGATTTTTAATAGTGCAGCAACTTTGGAAATTTGTAGGAAAATAATTACAGCTCCAAAAATTTTAAAAATTTGTGTGTAGCTTCTGTACATGTTCTATTATGGTTTAAAAATATAAAACTTGAAATTTGAATAAATTTTTAATGTTCAAAAATTCAGTCAATTAATTGATAAATGCAATTTCCATAATTTTTGTAGGCCACTGTATAACTCCAAAAATTATGGAATTTATTTTGGTACACTAATTTTGTCATGAGGAAGCTTGCATAAAATTTTGAGCTTAATTGAACAAAGTTGATTTTATACCTAATTTAGGCTTAATTATTTAATTAATTATTCACTTAGTTAATGCTTAATCATTTAGGGTTTGTTTGACTTTGGAATTGAATGTTGACCTTGGGTCAATAACTTATGATGATCCTTGGTACCTTAATTAGTTATTTGAACTCATACCTAACTTATAATTAGTAAATCTTAATGACATTTCATGTGATAACAAAGGTCATTAGTAAGTTAACTTATCGAAACCCTAGATGTTAGTGTCAATTGGTTTTGATTTACAACTGTATCGTGAAGGAAAGTTGTATTCAAGGTGTTATTACATTTCATGCACCATGAAAACATCATGTTTACATTATCATCATGTTGAAGCATATATTATTATTTCGTGTAGAATCCGAGAGTGAACCGATTCTAGTTGAGCAAGTTGTGGAAGAATCCCCGGTCGTCTCAGGATTTGATATTTGTGGTACTGATCTAGAATCCGAGATCGTCAACGAAGGCAAGCCCCGGTTTATGCATTAAACCATTACCTTATTTACTTTGAAAAGTTTATCACCTATGTTACTTATTGCATTAAGTTGATTAATTCAAATGTTACCTACTTGATGCATTGCCTACCTTGTTAATTGTTTACCATCCTTAAAGATGATTTCATTTACCAAGACGTAGAATTGCTTAGTATGCTTTATGGTAGGCTTTCAAAGTAAAAGTTTTGATACAATCAAAGATGGCATACTGGTCAAAGAAATAAAGAAGATAGAATGAACTAGAGACTAGTCGGGTGACTTATCTTGAATGTTGGGTAATGTTGCCGACTATGTCGCTTAAAGGACACTCGTTGTGGATCTTCTGAATGAGACATTTTGTAATACTGGTCACATACTCCGGTAAGCCTACTTCGGCTAATCCGATACTAAGACGAATGCCCACGCACTGGGAGTGGAGAGATGGCGGGAGTAGCGTGTACCCTCATGGCTGGAATGTGGCCGGATTGGAGGTGTTGTGCTCTCGGGTGGCGTGGAGATGGCTTAGTATAGGAGGATCCGGTAGCGAGGTTGATATATGCAAGATTAAGTTCTACATATGTCGTGTGATAAGGAATCCCCAGCTAGGACTTGAATCAATTTGAATTGCTGGTGCTCCGCGGATATGAAGACTCGATTTATTACAGAAGCAATACAGGACTAGTGAATTACTAAAACATGAGAAAAAGAATGGAATGAGAATGATTGGAACATGTGATATGAACACTTAGTATGAGATAATGGACTAAAAAGAATTAGGGGTAAAACTTGAAAATAGAATCAAGAATAGTAAGCTTTTGGCAAAGAACTTTTGAATCTTGCTACATCCTTACCTTGACCCAACACCTGCATCCCTAAGACCTTCGCCCCTTTTTACGTCGGGTCAGTCTTGTTGAGTACTTTTGTACTCAGGTTTTGTTAACCCTTGTTGTAGGTGAGTCGCATGCGTAGGCTTGTTTTGGTCCCTGCTGCATGTCAATGTTTGAAGTCGATGACAATGAGGAATGATGAATGGCCTTTGGACGAGGCACTAGTTTGTGTGAAATAAATAATGTTAATGTAATATTATCCCGCTACTATGGTTGTATGACACTTATAGTTTTGTAAGTTTGAAACAACTGGTTTGTAATATTAAAACTTAAGTCTTCCGCTTTACAATCTCTGGTATGTATATCGAAAATTATTGTAATCTGCAATGTCTGTGATTGGGATCCTGTTTGAAAAAGATTCGTGGATGATTCGGGTTTCACGAGGACACCCGACAGACCTGTTAAGTTGTTGGGAACTTGTGTACGCTATCAGAGGTCTGTTGAGACATCGATAGGTGCACGTGGACCCGATTTCTTAGAAGGTTCTGCCACACTCATGGCTCCGAGATAACACGTCTCGGCGCCACAGATCTTGGTTTTGAGGTGCCTAGCCGTACACAGCAGGGCATCCTAGGTGGCGTTGACGTGATCGGTACCTCGGAGCCACAGATCTTGGCTCTGAGCTCGAAGCTGTGGAGCTCAGCTCACGGCTCCGAGCTCGGAGCCATGGATCCTGGCGCCGAGCATGGATTCAAAACCCAATTTGCTATGTAGCCACACTATTAGGACAAACTAATCTTTTTAACGGGCCACATCCATGTGTTTTTTGGTTTAATCACCTAAGGCATGTTAGGGTTAGTCAAAGAAACTATGTACCCTTGTTTGTCACAT